CAATGACGTACCCGGAGTACATGCTTGCATCTTAAAATACCTTGTTCACTGTGTCACTTGTCTATCTGTTTCGAGTGCCATGGTTTCTTGTAAATGCGAGAGTTCAAGTACTTCTCTTGAAACGAATAACCTTGAAAAATGATATTTTACCTGTCAACAATACGTACCCTATCCGCACAATTTGTATGCAAGTTGCCATACATAGTTCAAGCTTAAAAATGGCATCACAAATTGGTCTCCAAAAAAAGAGTAAACTTGCTTGGAAAGTCTGACTTTTGTACCTAAACAATATTCTTAAAGGCGATAATATGATGATGAGGTTAAAGCAACATGTTTCGTTGTTAACAATCACTTTACAGAATGTGAAAATTGTTCCTGAGACCGGAGATATGTGAATTCTTCGATGACGCCTTCGAAAAAGTGATCATAAATTGGTCATTTACGTTAGACTGAAACAACATCCGGCGTGTTTGCAGCCCCATGCTCCTGACTTGGTAGAGCGCCGCTCTTGCAGGACACTGAAGCCATGGGCTAAGGCTAGGCTGTCCAGACACTTACGTAGGTTAACGAATGTACAGAAGTCATTGTCAATGATTGCGTTGAGCTGTACACATGTTATGTACTCAGGGACCACTGTTGGAGGCACGGTGAACCGCAGAGTCACGGCCATCGCCAGGTAGTCTTCGCTGATGTATTATTGGTGGTCCGTCATTGCGCAATGGACAATGGGTGAACAGAGGAGTATTCCGGATAATTATCCGGATTGTTGATTTAAGGAAATTGCACAACCATACTTTCCACAATGATTACGCAACAACACCGTCGGTGTTGTTTCGAAGGAATTACTCCACAATTTGGTGCCGTGTCAACAATTGATGCATTACCTTACAATGTTAGCACAGCTACTGTAACGTTATGACACACATGAGCAGCGTGATCTCTTCAAAGTATTATGATCACGCTCACCGCTGCGCCCATCGTCTTGTGCAGTCATGCCAGCGCCTCGGACTTGCTGAAATGTGCAAGGAATGGGTTTACTGTTAATGTTAACAAGTCGTTTTACTCAAGTGCTTTTAGCCAATCAAAACAAGTTGGACGAATTGGAATAAAGATACTACAGTAGTATTTCCCAAATAACCAACTTGGACGATCGTGATAAATTTCGGCCATTATTGTTGGGACGATCCTGGAAATACCCATTTACAGTGTTAAATAATCCATGAAAACGACATCAATGAACTTTTAACGTTAACATTACGTACTAGCATTACCAAACGACACACTTCTTGGTCGGGTTCATGGGGGAGTCCTTCGGACATTGAAATGCATCGGCAAACAGCTGCGAGTTCATCATCGGCCCCTTGGCGCGCCACTGGGCGGGCGAATGGGGGTCCATGTGTAGGCTGTTGGTGTAAAAGTTGTCGGTGGCTTTAAAGCACCACCATCCCTGGACAAACGCCGTGAAGAACAGCTTGGCGTCGTTGTACCCAATGTCAGCAATCGTCGGGTCGGCCTGCTTGGCCTTTTGGTACGCCATGTACGCCAGCTTCAAGCCCCCGTTGTCGGCGATGTTTTCTCCCAACGTCATGCGGCCATTCACGTACCCCAGTACAGTCTTATCTAGAGATTCGACGAGGAAGGTCGAGTATTGGTCCACGAGGCACTGGGCGTTCGACTCGTACGTGTTCTTGACGCCTGCGGTCCACCAGTCGGCCAGCTGCCCCGACGGGTCAAAGTTGCGGCCTTGGTCGTCAAAGCCATGCGTCAATTCATGGCCCATCACGACTCCGATGCGCGCGTAGTTGGCCACGGCGGGGAACTCGCTCGCGCCGTACACTGGCTTTTGCAGAAATGCCGCGGGAAATACCATCTTGTTGGCCGTTGCGTCGTTGTACGCATTCGCGGTAAAGGCAAACATGGCCCATTTGGTGTGATCCACTTGGTTGCCGAGCTTGTTTAACGTGGCGTTGGTGGCGAGGCTGTCGAGAGTTTGCACGTTTTGGTAAAAATTGGTTGCGTTCAGGGGAAACGGCAGGGGCTCAAACGAATCCGGCCCACCGACAAAGTTGGCGATCTTTGCGACTTTGTCCAATGCGACGCGGCGGGTGGGGGCGTCCAGCCAGTCCACTTGATGGATCAAATCGGTCATGGCGTCTTCGATTTGCTGGATCAGGGCTTTAGCTTGAGCTTTCACCGACGGCTGGAACGCCTTGTCCAAGTACAACTGGCCCAAGTACTCGCCCAAATACGATTTCACGAGGTTCGTGCAATACACTTGCCGGGACTCGACGGCCGGTAGGCCTTCTGTGGCGCTGCGAAAGTTGTGAGTGAGCACGCGAAACGTGTCGCCCAAGACCGGGCTGCGAGTGTGCACCAAGTGGAAACTGACGTACGTTTTGAGCACAGCCAAGTCAGTGTTGGCCACCAACTTGGCCAGTCCTTCCAAGAACTGGGGGCTTGGAACCAGCACCGGCACGGTTTGGTTGGTCCCCCACAATGGGTTCATGCCTTGAACGTAGGTCGCCACAAACGGGTGGACATCTTGCAGGTCAAACTTGTGATACGTAGCCCACGGGTCTCGCAATTGCGCTCGGGGAAGCGACACGTTGGCAATTTGTGCTTCAAAGTCAAAAATGGTCTGGGCAATCATGTCCGATCCATGATTTCTCGTTTGAAACGGGTGGTGGTCGAGCGCGGCTGACAAGTTGGCAATGTACTCGTGCAAAGGACGAAAGTACTTGGCCGCGTTGGCATAGTACTCGGCCGACGACAGCGTCAACCCTCCTTGCGAAAGGTACAGCACATTCACCGTGGCATTCTTCGGATCGACGCCCACGTCAATGTCCAAAAACGACTTGGTCGTGGTGGTCACGGCCAACGCGCCAGCATACGCCAGCAACGCGTCCACTGAATCGAGTGTGGCAATGTGGCGGAGCTGCGCGGTCACATCGGCCACGGCCTCGTCGTTCACTTGAGGTTCCGCCACACATGCTTGGTAGAACGGATCGATCACGTCAGGCTTTGTGGCCATAATGTCGTGGATGATCTTGTCGTTGTTCTTGTTCACAATCGAGAACGAGGTGTCGATGTTGCTCTCTGTGTCGGTGAGGTCGTTGGCCTCGAGCCACCCGCCGCACGCGTACTGGTAAAAGTCCTCGCACGGGTCCACGGTGGCGTCCATGTTGGCAAACATGGAGGTGTAGAACTCGACGTACTGTGGCGGGTATGACGTGGTGATGCCTGCTGGCGTCGGTGTGGTCGTGGCTTGGGTTCCCGTGGTTGTGGACGAGGTTGGTGTGGCCTGGACGGAGATCCTAGTCCACACGACACCACCGACGATACCTGCTACCACGATAACGCCGCCTACGACAGCGTACTTGACCCATGCTGGTCGACCCGCCACAGTCGACTGCTTGGCTGTTTGGGTGTTCAACAACGACGAATCTTCCGACGAGGACATACAGTTGCTGGCACGACTAGTGAGCTGTCGCGGGTGGAATCAAATGTCAATCAAACGAGTTTTGTACAAGCTTAACGTTAACGTTAGTACAGTATGTACTGCTCTGCTCTGCCATCCACGAACTCAACAATCAACAGCTGTGTGATTTGTCCCACGATTTGGGTGTCCTGGCTGGCGGAGTAGAAGAGCTACACTCTGTACTACTAAAGCTTGCTAGTACAGTATGTAGTAATTACTAAGTATTAATCTAGAAGACAACATCCTCCCATCCAGCTATTTGGATGGCCAACTGCGCAATGCCATGCAACACCTCGTGTAGTGCTGTAGGTGCTGTCGTGTCATGACTGTGAATACCTCAGAACGCACTAACTTAGTCATTCTCGGGCACGCAGGGACCACTGCTTGGGCTACGATTGACCACCAACAAGCTACAGATCGAGTATATAGAACTGGTCGAGTATATAGAACTGGTCGAGTATATAGAACTGGTCGAGTATATAGAACTGGAGGCATTGCCAACATATCAGCAAAACCTCCAGTTCTACATATATATACTCCAACAACACGCAACATCATCGAAGCCAAAAAACGTTCCAACTCGGGAAATGGTGTATATTCTGTGAAATTGGCAGGAAGAAATATCAAGCTTATGGCATATGGATGCACCCTCAGAGTCGCTAGTGTACAGCAATGGCCGAATTGTGATCTTGCGTGTGATGTCACTATCGAAGGGAATGCGCCGTGGGCTATGTGAGTCCCAGAGATCTGTGGATCGTCGGTGGAGTGGTTGCTTCAACACACATTAATATTGGTCCAGCCAATCAGCGGGATCAATGTGATTTAGGGAGTGTATACGTTACAGTATGCTACCAGTACTACTACTATTAATAGGAATAAGTTCGGTACCCCATTGAACTCAGCATACAAGGTGGTTGCCAAAAACCTGTACACAACAATAAGCTTACAAGTGTAGTGGAAGTCCACGGCAATACTAGTAGTGTTTCCGAAATCTGTCTATTAGCGGTCCGTTTTCCATGATAAAGCAATAAAACTTGATTGCTTGGGCATTTCGCGACCCATCACCCTGGAGAATTCCCAGTTAGGTACATTTACAGTACTGTACTGTACGGTAGCCACGTGCCAGTCCTTATTCGCGTTGAAATGGTTAACGCTTAATGCAGTACACATACACTTAACGCAATTGCGCATTAGATCCTCTTGGAGCATTTGCCGGAGGTTTGTTGTTGTCTGTAAGAACACTCTTGCAGGAATTAGCATATCGGAATGTCGTCGATATATTCCACGTTAGGGTTATTGACTGACTGCCTTTCCCACTCAGACGTGCATTCTAACAGTCAGGTATATCCCAGTGTCGGACATTTAATTGTATATTTGCTACGAATCAAAACCATTTACCACGTTAGTATTATGTGGCCGCATGATTTTTTGCCAATCCAACCCCGTTATTGCGATACGCATGGGTGTATGTCCCAGTGGGCGTAACCTCAAGCAAGCATGCTTCGGCTCACTTTAGTTTTGACACAGTACCTTCAACATGTCCGAGAACTCCTCGCTGCTCCGCAACACTCAAGAAGCCCCCGTGGCCAACGCGCGACCTTGGTGGTTCAAGTACGCCCTTGCTGGCGGCGCCGTGGTGGTGATTGGCGGCGTTGTGTGGATTGCCACCGCCCAAGGCGAGCCAGTGGTTGCGCTCGGCCCGCATGGCCAAGTGGGCCCGACGGTCAACGTCACGACGACGGGCGTCCCCGTGACCACCACCACCACATCTGCCCCAGAAACCACAACGGTTGCGACTACGACCACGTCGGTGCCCGTGACGACCACGGTTGCGCCAGTGACGACAACCGTCCCGGCTACCAACGCGACCTTTGTCCGCAATGCCACCAACACCACTGTCGTTCGCAACTCGACCAAGGACACGATCGTGGCCCAGTACCCAGCCCAGTTTGCTGCGTTCTTCAAGGAATTCGAAGCCAAGTTGGACCGATCGGTGGACCCGTGCGATGACTTTTACCAGTACGCGTGCGGCGGGTGGCTGAACGCCACGACGTTGAAGCCGTCCGACACGACAGTGGACTCCTCTTTCTATGTGGTCACCCAAGACAACGACCGCATCCTCAAGGACATCCTTGCCACCAAGCCGGCGGTCATCGATCCGTTCTATCAGGCGTGTCTGACTGAAGGCGACGTGAACGCGGACGCAGTCGTGGACGTCAGTGTCCGTCTGAACCACATCGCGACCATCCAGTCGCTGGACGAACTACTGGCGTTTGCCGGCATCCTCAACACCGAGTCGTCCGTGTCGTCCTTCTTGGACGTAGGCGTGACCACAGACCCGAAGAACGCGACTCTGAACGTCGTGGAAATCGCCCAAGGTGGGCTCACGCTGCCGTCCGTCGAGTACTATGAAGCCGACATGCTGGCTCCGTACGTGGCATCCCTTCAAACGTACTTGGAGACGTTAGCCACCGTGGACGCTTTCACTGGCGTGACGGCCAAGGCGGTGCTGGATTTGGAAGCGCAGCTGGCCAAGATCTCGTTGACCCAGGCCGAGCTGCGGAACCCGTGGGCCACGTACCACAAGTTTGCCCTGGGCGACGTCACGGCCAAGTACCCGCAAATCGCGAGCTTTCTCAGCGGCGCGCAGCCAGCCCTACTCAACCAGACGAACGTTCCGGTGCTCGTGCCAACCCCCACGTACTTTGACTCGTTAGCAGCGCTTCTGCAAGCCACCGACCTCGGACTGCTCAAGGTGTACCTGAGCTTCCGGTTGATCTACACTGTCAGCCCGTACCTGGGCGAAACGTTTCGCCAGGCCAACCACGACTTTAACGGCGCGCTGCAAGGCCAAGTGTCGACTCAAACTCGCGCCGAGTACTGCTGGGGCTTGACCCAGTCGCTGCTTGGGGAATACTTGGGCAAGTTGTTCATGGACAAGGTGTTTGATGGAGCTACCAAAGCGCAGGCGCAGGACCTGATCCGTCAGATCGAAGCCTCGATGGTGGATGTGCTGAACGACGCGGCATGGCTGGACGGCCCCACGCGCCAAGTGGGTCTGGACAAAGTGGCCCAAATTCGCAACTTTATCGGGGGCCCAGACGCCGTCGCGCCGCTGCCGTTCAACCTCACGAACAACTTCTACACGAACGTACAGTTGTTTGGCGACTGGGCGACGAGCGAGAGCTGGGCGTCGCTTTATGAACCGGTGGACCCGACCGTGTGGGACATGTTTGCGTTCACGGTGAACGCGTACAACGACGGGACGGCCAACAAGATCGTGTTCCCCGCGGCGATCCTGCAGCCCCCGTTCTACAACGCGCGGTCGTACCCCGCCGTGGCCAACTACGCCCGCATTGGGATGGTCATGGGCCACGAACTAACTCATGGTTTTGATGACGAAGGGCGCAACTTTGACCCCCACGGCCAGCTCAACGCGTGGTGGTCGGACGCTGTCTCGGCAACCTTTGACAAAAACGCCAAGTGTTTAGCCGACCAGTACTCTACCTTCCCCATCGTGTCGGTGGACGGCCACACCGTGCTCGGTCACTTGAACGGCCAGCTCACACTGGGCGAAAACATCGCCGATAACGGCGGCCTCAAGCTGGCCTATTTGGCCTACCAGCGCGCCAAGAAGGCCAACAAGGCGATCGCACAAGACCTCGGCATCGACGACGCCAAGCTGTACTTTACCGCGTTCGCCCAAGGGTGGTGCCAGAAACGATCGGACGGGAACGCGATTCTGCGTAAAAACACCGACCCCCACTCCCCCGGCAAGTGGCGCGTGCACGGCCCCCTGTACAACTCGCAAACGTTTGCGGATACGTTCCAGTGCCCCATCGGGTCCCCCATGAACCCCTCCAAGAAGTGTGTGATTTGGTAATCGTAGCGTTGGTTCGAGTGTTATTACGAAGCAAGCCAACGCGTTCTACCTTGCTACTGTAGTAGTAGTTGATATACTTGTAACTACTACTGTACTCAACATTCTCATCCATAAGCCTACCAAGCGTGTCCACCGAAAACACACCTGAATCCCTCTAAGTTCTACTTGACATTTCGACCTTCGCCGCCAACGTCAAGTACAGTTAGGAGACACTTCGCTCTGACAAGTGTTGGATGCTCCATACACCGCGAGCACGACAAAAAGTATCATGTGATGACGTGGCCATGTTATACTTCGAAGTACAAGTGTTGTGCTTTACATGCAGTTTGCCTGTTGGTTAATTAGGGGGTTGCCACTCCCTTGATAATGACGGCAATGGCGCACCTGTAGAGCTCTAATTGTCGCTTCAACGCTGCTTGTTCGCAAATCAAAGCGCCCGTCTCGTCCGTGTGTCCGACCTCGTTGCGGTGTACGGACGGATTGCGTCGAAGTACATGCAACTGTCGACGTAGCTCTCGCATGTGGCCACGGGTGTGTTGTTCCCGTATCTTTCCACGAAGCAGCGAGTCTTGGAGTCCTTTCAGTCGTCTCAGCAACTTGTTTGTTTCGGACTCCTCGACTTGTCGGGTGGAAGCAGCCGTGGTCGATTGAGCACTCTTGAGCTCGGCGGTTTCCAAGTCGTGGCATTGCCTTGTGCCAAAATCACTTTGCACTTCGGCCGTGGATGCCTCCATTCCGCGAGAAACTTTCAACGACGATGCCGCCGCATGTTCTTGTGCCATTGTACCCGTTGCTCGTTTCAATAGCAAGTTTTTCTGGATCAACTTTTGCATGTGTCGCGTTCGCTCGTGCAATGTGGCCACCGCGCGTACATGTTGTTGCAGCAACGTCTTGTGCGACCGTTCGAGTTTGTCGTGGCGCTGCTTAATCTGTTTGACTTCAGCGTTCAAATCGCTGCATACTGCCTTCGACTCATCCAACAAGGTCATGGTGTGCGCCAATCGACGCTGTTGATGGGCCATCTTTTCGAGCAAGTCGTTGAGCTCGAGTCGGTCCTGATTCCATTGCCATTGCCGTTGCTTCTCTTGGGCGGTGCGAGCGCAATCATGGATGGCATGCTTGGCCGTGAGCTCCAACAACTGGTCTGCGTTGTCTTGGCCTAGTACTAAAATTTGCGCCTTGAAGTGCGCCACTTCTCGTTCGAGTTGTTCGAACTCGGCCTCGGCAGTAGCATTGTACGTCTCAAGCTGCGTGCGAACCTCCGATAGAGCTACCGTGTCCATCTCATGCAGTCGACTTAGTTCGTGCAGTCGACTGACTTCTGATTTGAGCGTCTCCACTTCCCGGGCGTGGACAAGCTTTAGCTCGGCTACGTCGTCGTTGACGACCAACGGGGGTGACCGGGGGGAGGGGGGGCGATGAACGGGGCTGGGGTAAACCTCCGATAATCTCTCGGGAGTTATTGGGGCTTCGAAGGTCGCTACAGCTTGGGGGGAATGGCGTCGTTGGCCCTGCAGGAGGAACACGTCGGCTTGGAGCTGCAGCACTTGTTTGGCCGCCACGTCGTGTTTCTTTTTCCACTCCATGGCCTTGGCGCAAAACATATCGCAATCTTGCTTGTACTTTGTGCACGCTACCGTGTACTCTTGGATCGTACGGTCCTTTTGTGCCAGCAGCTCTTGAAAGTGTACTGTCGCAGAGCCAGCGTCGCTCCATCGATCCGTCCGAGCCACCTCACGAGGTTCCACTGGCAGCGAACTATGGGGAATGCCTTGATGGAAGCCTCCGACCCCAGGCTTGCTCCCCACCGTGGCCCGACGGTTTGCTGTCGCCTATGGTTGTCGTGGAGTATAATGGTAAGTCAACGACCATGAATTAAAAAGTACCTCGAACGATGTGTGGATCGATGTATACGACGCCTTCTTCGGCACGCTGCTCTTGCGTAAATTGCTCCGACGAGGCGTAGGCAACGACATGATGGACTCCCCCAGGAGGTCACTACGATTGCTACTCGTCGTGTTTCGTGTCGACTTGGTACACTGGGGTTGACGGCGTGGCTAAGAATAGACGATGACAACCCCTCAACAATTGGTGCGAAATGATATGAGCTTTCGTGGTCCTCTCACCCGGTGTGTGCGTTAAGGCAGCAACAGCCTCGAACACCAGTAAACTAAAACCTATCGGATGGGTCGACATAACGCCGAGTTTAGCAAAAACACGGCGAACGCGTGGCCGAGATCTTTTTTGATCCGCTGACTGGTGACCAAGTGACCATGCAGTGTGTGGTAGCGGATGGTTACGGTTTATCAAGGCCAGTTGGCTATAGACTACCTAAGTGACGAGATCTGTTCCGGCTAGCACGTCGGGAGAGCGCCGGGCGCCATTCACCTCCTCCGTCAACTGGTGCGGGAGATGCACGCGTGACGTCGATGTCGTCCACAGCTTGGCCAGTCAACGCATGGGCGGCGGACGTTTCTGTCGGTGCGGCAGCATTGGCTGCGGCAAGGGCCACGTACTGCAGTTTCCACTCGAACGCCTTGTCGGCCAGGGCTTCACAGTCGTGTTTTAAGCGATCACATGTGGCTGTGAATTTCTGGATGAGGACGTCCTTGCTGTCGATGGCGGCGGCTTGCTCCATAATCACAGCTTCTTTCTCGGCCAGCTGCGCCAAGAGTCCTGCGATCACGTGGCTGTCCTCCTTTTTCGCCATGGTGTGGATGTCCGTAAAGTACATGGGGGGTTTCTAGTCAACCATACAAATCAAACATGAGACGTGGGAGGGGGTTGACTGGATGGGACGGCGGCGTTGTCATCACTTGCCTCCTTGGCGAGCTCTGCTTGCTTGACCACCGTTCGAAAAGACGATGTGGCTGTTTCCCACATGTACCGCGGTTTGTTGACGGGCGAGTCTGGAGGGGTCGAATGGGCCGACGAGGGGGAGGAGGAGGTCTGCGTAATGGATGACACGGATGAGAACGCAGACGCTGCCCCAAAGTTAATGGACCCTGTTCGAAGCAGAGATTGCTTTCCTTTGGCTGGTGACACGGACGAACTTCGTCGGACGGAGGCGCGTGTTAGTGGCGTGGCTTCAGACGACATCGCCTTAGTTCATCCCACTGCGTTATACCAATGTCCTAAAATAGCGCGACCAAAATAGCCCGGTGTTAGTTACTGCAGGTTGGCTATACATCACCTAAATTTGTACTGTAGCCGAGCCGGGGATAGTGTTGTGCAAACTCGTTGGCAATTCTCAATTAATGCAACTTTAGTACTCGGAGTACAACGTAGTCGTGAGTTAGCACTATACCGTATAGTGTATATGCATTGCGACGGATTAATCTATTGCAACTCCTGTAATAACTGATACATTTCTTGTAATAACTGATATTACTTTGAAGTATTTACTTGTGAACATGTTGAATATACTTCAAATTTGTATGTCGAAATGGATTAACAAAATTTTGAGAACGAATGTCGGCTGGTTGTGAAATATCACCTGTCGCAATACATATACACTATACGGTAGTAATGAGTCAGCACTACAGCACTACTGTACTGTAGTCAATCGACCAGGCAGCAGACATTGACATGCACATGTATCTCAACAGTCACAGCATCAATCTGTCTGGGGTGCCAATGGCCAATTCCTTTTGATGAGGGGTTTCGGGGTTTCCTGAAACCGCGAAACGCCGAAACCTCAATGCTTTCTTTTGTCGTGTAATTTGGTTTGTCCTACATCTGTACTCAGGTAAGCCAATTATATGGAATGCTCTTTCCACTTCATTTCTTGTTGGCATGGGTATCTTCCGTCGCTTGCTCAAGTCGCCGTTGGCGTTGGTGGCAGCAGCTGTCGTCGGTGCTGCTGCCTCTGTGATCGAACCACAGCAGCGTGTGTGTATTGTGGGAGCTGGTGTCGGCGGGAGTGCTACGGCCTCGTTCCTCCGCACCCTTGTCCCTGATGCGTCCGCCGTGGAGATTGTCGTGTTTGAACAACATGCTATCCTCGGCGGTCGCATCGCCACGTTCGACTATCACGGCGCGACGATCGAAGCTGGTGGCACGGTTTTTCTTACAGGGAACGAGTACATCATGCAGTTCACGAAGGCACTCAACTTGACGCTGCGCATCCCGGGGGACACGTTGTCGTCGCCGCCGCAGATGGGGATCTTCAACGGTCGCGAGATTGTGTTTGAAACATCGCCCATCTCGTGGTGGAACACAGCCAAGCTCATGTGGCGCTACGGTCCGACAAGCCTCCGTGCGTTCCGGGGGGTTGTGAATGACCTTCTCACCCGATTCCGACGCGTGTACGACCTGCAAGCCGCTGGTCACGCCTTCGCTGACCCCGCCGATCTCTTGCGCGCCATGGGTACGTTCGACATTCGCATCTGCAATCCTAATGTCCAAGTAGACTTGTATCATCTGACCACCGTGACGTTGGAATCGAAGCTTGCCGAGGCGGGCGTGTCGCCTCTCTTGATCAACGAACTCTTGGCCGAAATCACTCGCGTCAACTATGGCCAGAACACGACCATGACGGCACTCGCGGGCGCGGTGGGGCTCGCTGGCAGCGGCGACGACCTGCGCGCAGTGCAGGGTGGCAATCCATTGGTACAATCCTCGAACACTCCACAGCTTTTCGCTCTGATGCGGGATTGTAGATGATCCAAGGGCTGCTACAGCTAGCGCAAGCAATTGTCCATGTCAACACCAAAGTCAACGCCATCCACACAACACCGTTGCAAGTCGACACGTCCAGTGGTTCGTTTTCCTGCGATGCTGTTGTGGTGGCCACGCCGTTGGAGCTGTCGGACGTTCTGTTGCCTCTGACTGTTCCCAAGCGGCCGTTCCAAACAACCCACGCCACGTTTGTGGAGGGGGAGCTACGGCCAGCCAAGTTTGGCCTAGCGTCTGTTCTTTCCGCTGGAATGATCCTGACAGTGGAAGACGCGAGCATTCCATTTTCGTCCATGGGGCTGCAGTTCCAACGCTTGGATGCCCACAAGAACAACCAAACGGTGTCGCTGTTCAAAGTATTTTCCCGGTCGCGGTGGACCGACGACGACGTGAACGACTGGTTTCTTGACGGTGCCAACGTGATCAAGAGGTTTGCATGGCGCGCGTACCCGACCTACGTTGCCCCGGAAACCATCCCAAAGTTCAAACTCGCGGATGGGGTGTATTATGTGAATGCGATTGAAAGTGCCGCCAGTGCCATGGAGATGAGCGCCGTGGGGGCGCGGAATGTGGCGCTGTTGGTGGCCAAGCAGTTGAAGGAAAGGGCAAAGTCGTCGGAATCGGTGTACGAAGCGACAAGGGGTGCCAAGGCTGCCACGGACGAGTTGTAAAAATACTACATATACTATATGACGCGTATTTGGAAATGGATTGGGGGCAAGTTGACAGGTAAAGTCTAGCTAATTTAGACCAGCGACTGCATAATATTCGTAGCCACAAGATGTACAGTACTATTATATCTGTGGTGAGTGCATAGTCACTACCATGTATTAATAGTAGTAGTAGTTCCTCGAAGAACATGTCTACTGAATGAATAAACTGCTACTACGTAGTACATAGTTTTCTCCATGGCTTCGACAGGACATTCCACCAAGTGATACTACTTAACCCTCAAGCACAATACTACCACTCAGTCGAATCTGCATATTCTATGAACTCTAAAAGGTGAAGCGAAAAGAAAGCAAGTCTCATCAACACAGAAACCTCTTCCCCCCGATGCAGTTCCATTTTGTGCGAGCCCCACACTTGTTCACTAGCCAATCAGCACAAGGAACATGGCCCTGAACACACATACACCACCATGTGATGATACATCATAATATTCAAGTGGTAACCAGCACAAAACAACAGGTCAATCAACGTCTGCCGCTCCCTCGTCGCATCGGCGACGACTGTGTGACACTGCGGCTGCTCAGCGTTTCCGCCAGTCGCCCTTCAAGCGCTTCAATACGCGCTTCATCCAAGTGGAGCTCCATTTCCAAGTGGCGGATCTTGGCTTGGTACTGCGCTTCGAGGTCCTTGTACTCGACCTGCGCTTGCTTGACACTGGCTAAGTACATAGCCGTCTGCTCGGACAGTTTTTCTTCGAGCCCGTCGACTTGGGCGACATAGAAAGCCACGTTGCTGTCCTTGGCTTTTGAAAGCTTGGCTTGCTCCACTTCAGCCACGAGCAATTCCTTCTCGAGCTCGAGCTCCTTGACTCGCTGTCGAAGTTTCTTCAATTCTTCCTTTGCGTGGGGGCTCCCGTTCGATGGAATGTGGTTCTTGCCATGTTTGGAGGGGGACTTCGGGGACTTTGATGTCTTGGCGGTGTTTTGAAGGGCGTCGACGGTCAGTTGAAGGGGGCTGTTTTCATGCAAAATCGCTTCAATTGCATGCACTTCAGTCTTGTATTGCGCTTTTTCCGCTTGCAACTGGGCCACAATCCCGTCTAGCTCGGCGGCTTTCTGCTGCCATTGGCCGACCTCTTTGGTCTTGGCCTCCACCGCCCGTTCCAAAGCGTCAAGCTGTACTTGCAGGGCGCTTTTATCCCCTTGATTCTCGGCATTGGTTGTTTTTGTCGTGGCTTCCATCGCCCTTAGCTTGGTTAATGCAGCGTCGCGCTCGGATTGCATGGACTCGAGCAGGCTCGAGCTGTCTTCGCAGCGCTTGGTCAAGCCGAGCACGCGTTTCTGAAGGTGTTTGACTTCTTCGACGTACCCGTCGATCAAATCTTCCTTGTCCTGCTCCATGATGGTTTGCAGCCGCGTGGTACCGGTTTGCAGCGATTGCACCTGGTCCTGCAACGTAGTGGCTTCCACGTTGCGCTGGGCGAGGGCTGCGTGCATGGATTTTTGTTGCGCCAACAGCGCCGAGATCTCGCCCAGTGACGCCTCCGCCTCCCCTTGCAATACAAGCACCGTTTGTGTCAATGTGTCCACAGTGCTTTCGAGTTCGGCCACTTTCGACTCATTTGCAGTCTCTTGCGCTTGGAGCTGGGAGATCACCGACCGGAATTTCTCCTCGCGACCCGGGAATTGCTTCACTTGGGCGGCTAGTTCGTGCGTTAAGCTCGTCGTCGTCACCAACTGCGCCTTGGTGGTCTCGCTTTTGAGGGTTTCCACTTCCAGTGCCCTTTGAACCGCCTCGAATTCTTGACGTTGACTAGTTAGTTGGCCTTCCAAGTCGACAACTAGCGCTACGTGGGCTTTCACTTGCGCTCTGGTGTCTACACCTTGCTGGGTCAGCGTTTCAACTTGTTCGAGCAACGTTTGCCGTTCTCGTGTCCACTCCACGAACTCTGCGGTCATCTTGGTGGCTCCTTGTTTTTCTTCATCGTCGGATTCAGCTGCTACTCGCTTCTCGTCGCGCAGGACTTTGATTTCATCCATGTATGCTTGGATGGCAGTCTCGTACAAGGCAAATTGCAACGAACCAAACTGCCGAGTTGGGCTGGGACACGTCACGGGTTGCTTCTGTTCCGTGTCCAGAATGTGAAAGGCATTCAGCGCGTGATCGAGTTGACCTCGGAGCACGTCGATAGCCAACGCTTGTGACGACGTGAACCAGTGCTGCTCTTCGGTAGTTTTCTGCAGCCGTATGCACTCGGTTTGGAGCGCCGCGTGGGCGATGGAGAGATCCAAATTGCCTAAGTCCTCGGAATTGCGTCGTCGCTGGTCACTGGTGGCTTCTGCCAACTTCGCCTTGAGCGACACCGTTTTCTCTTTCATCCGGGCCTTCGTTTCGTCCAGTTCGTCCAGACGTTGCTGCGATTCCAACTGGGCCGTTTGCAACGCCCCGTATCGTTCTGCGAGCAATTGCTTGTCAAAGCGAAGTTTGTCCACCACGAGGACCAGACAACGAAGTTTCTCCGTGGTGTCTTCACCCACCATGCACTGCCGGTCGAACGCGTGGGTCTGCGCAGCGAGGTCGGCCACGGTTTCTTCCAAGAGCGCGGCTGTCTCCCCTGCATCGACCGACACTTCGCTGTGGCTTTTCGACACCTCGTTCAACTTGGACGTCATGTCGTCGACTTGCCGCTGCGCCGCCACGGCACTTGCCTTCCAGTGCACCACCTCGTCTTGCAACAAGCTTTCGCCCTTGAGTTGGTCTTGGAACTTCTTGAGCTCTTTCTGGAGGTTGGACAGGATTGATTCGCACCGTTCAACGTTGGCTTCGTCCTCATCCCCTTCGGGCACGACGTAGATGGAGTAGTCCATGGTCATTCCTGCACGGTCCCCCGAATTCGCCATCTCTTCCGCAACGTATGTCATGCGCTTCTCCAACGCACGAGTCTTGGCGGCCGCCACCCTTCGGCCTTGGGCGGCATGCCCTGCCATCGCGTCGTCGTGCTTTTGTTTCCACTCGAGGGCTTTGGCGGCAAACGATTCACAGTCCGACTTGTATCGGGCGCACGCTTTCGTCAAATCCGCGATGGCCACGTCTTTTTGGGTCATTTGATCTTCTAGCTCTTGGACGGCGAGGAGGGCGTTGTCCAGTTTGATTGTAAGCGCCGAACACTCGGTGTTGGCACCATCGAGTTGGGCCTGCAAGTCGCACGTTTGCTGCGAAATGTGCTCGGACAACGTGGCTTGCAAAGTCAAGACGGTGGCATCGATGGGACGAGGGGACGACGAGGCTGGAGCGCTTGAGAGCTTGGACGGAGATGGTTTCTTCAACCCCGATGCTTTCCCTTCCTTGGGCTACGCAGCAGGTTGTATCAGACCAAAGATCGCGAAAATGAATGTTTGAACATTTCATTTCCACCTGAGTGCTATGGACTATGGATGCCCTGGTGGTTTGAAGGTAGTGCGGAGGCGTTATCGTTGGCTTCTTGATGCCGCCTTGTGGCGGGGGGATGTTTGTGTCTATGTTCCTTTGCGGGGACGACGTATGAATTGAGGTGGGCCCAGGCGGTGGAGGAACAAGGCTTGGTTTGCATTCTGCAACCTTATTTGCTTTTTTGGTCGCTAGAGTCTTGGGAGGCGCTGGGGTGGAGGAGGAGGGCCGGGGGGAGAGGCATGGTTTGACGGTAGAGCTGCCGAACCCAGGCCGTTTTACTGGGGACGGCGAGCTGAGTCGAGGGCTAAGCGCTTTGGACGGACTGACAATGCCCGACGGTTTTTGTAGTTTGACAGGCGACGATGGGCGCCGACTTTTCGATGCACTAGACGGACCGGCAGACGCACTCATATACGTTGTGGTAGCAACAACAGCACTGTGAAACGTGTTGCAGCAATGAGCACGTCGGATGGCGGGGGCTATTCTTAGACGTATCGCAAAACTCTCGCACATGTGTATTTTTGACCCAACTACAGGGAACGCAAACACCATCGACTACATGTACGCCGTAATAATTTGACGCAACAAGCAACACCTTGAGTAGCCTCACAAGATGGTAAAACCACAGTTAGTCCACTTAACGTTAAGCGGGGAACTCCCCCCGCTTTTTAGGTCAAACAAAAAAAGTGATCTCTGGCAAGGATGCAAGTGCACATGGGAGCAGTGGGGGCCGCGTGACGGAGTATTCTGATCCAATGCGTGCCGTAATTAGGGTTAAATACCCGGTAATTACTACTGGCGCTAGTACTGAACTGTCGCGTCAAATAAGTTTAGACAATTCGTGTCGTGGGTTCGTGTGACGATTGAATCGCACAATACATGCAAATAAGTGCAAGGTCAAGTTGTGGTAAGTGGTGGCTATGTACTAGTATCTACGGGCAAGTAACACTACGTATGAGCGCCTTCAGAACTTCGCGAAAGGTGTACACGGCCACCTTTTTACCCCCCCCCACATGGTACGAGTAGAATTGGCTAACAAACGAGATGCAAACGAATCGTATCGGATCATTAATACAAGGATCGATTTAGCCCTGTCGGGCCTGACGCTGACACGAGCAGTACGCTGTGAGATTCTCCGACTTGGATGCACATACAACTCCTTGAGTAGCATTGGGGGACGAAGGAGATGCCAACATTAGCTCGTACTTTTCTCGAAAGACGGTGTTCTGGCCGGCCGCATCGGTTGGTAGCACAGTAAACGGCACGAGTTGTGAGGGATCGCTAAGATTGTCCGTCTGGATCACCACGATGTAGTCCCCCGCGGGCCACGATTGATGCAAGTCTCGGTCGAGGCGAACGGCCAAGAGGCCAGTGTGAGAGGGTAGCGCCACACTTGTGTTCAGTTGCATAGTGCCTGCAATCGCATTGGTACCCCGGCGGACCACAATGTTCAACTCAGAGGGAACATCATTGGTGGGGAAATACACGGTGAGCCAAATGCCATCTTCGTGCGTGGGGTTGATCACTCCATGAAGCATGCCTTGCAGCGAATTGTGGTACCACTTTTCTGATACTTGGGGGGCGAACGGACGAACGTCGTCGAGGGTGGCATGCGTGGCATCACGGGGGACGAGGAGGGAGGCTGTGACCAACTCCACGTCGCCCGAGGCGTCGAACGTCCCAACCGCTTCGACAGCAACGGCGTCAGCATGATATCGACACGAGTTGATTTGCGTATTCGGTTTAGGGGAAATGGTGAAATTCAGCAGCGTTGGTTGCGTGCATTGGAATGCTGGGTCATGTGGCCATTGGTGGACGTAGTGAGAGTCGAAGACGTAGCGCGCGAGGTTCTGTTGACAACATTATTTCCACAAACATCAAAACGAATATTGTATAACAGTGAGGTACCTCGTACAACGCGGGGTCGACGGATGCGCAAGTTGTCGCGGACAAGTCGAGCGACGACCGAGGAATGAGATCTAGGCACTGTCGAGTGTCGCAAAAGACAGCTGAACGGGCGAAATTGGCACGTAGAGACGACTCGGCCTTGGGCAACAAGGACGTGACTAGCTCCATGTGCGACTGCCGAGTCCACACGATGCCGCAAAATGTGACAAACCCGAGAGCCGTCGTAAGGAGCCGCACTTGTCGCTGCCGTTGCTTGCGTTGCTTTTGAAGTTTCTCCATTTGAGACAAGTAGTTGTTGATATGCAGAGGGGTGCGTCGGCGAGAGTCCTGCAGGAGGCTGCATGATTCGTCGCCGCCTTCCGTGGCGTAGTCTTCGTCGTAGCTGCCGCCATCCATGTTGAAGGTGTGATGAACAGGTATCTTGAACAGGCACAAGATACACTATGTACGTAAGTCATACATCGTACAATCCAACTGAGCTCACCTAAGAGAATCTCAAACGTACAGTACATTAAATATTGTCATCCCGTACAGAACTAGTTGTACGATAGGTATCAAACTTCCAATTTCGAAGCAAAAGGCCAACTTGTTAGTTAAAGTCACTGTACTTGAACACGCCACTCCATTCACAACTGGGAGCACTGAATCACTATACGACAGGAAAGCTATAACGTTAGATCGTTCATGTCGTCGATTTCACGGTTCGGTATTGTGCCGTGCCACCAATTGTCCTAATTTGATGTCGCGGCATAGCCAACTCAGCCGATAATATCAGAGTCGTCGAGTTATGTATGCGTCCTTGCGATATGTGGCTACCTCAATCGCAATCAATGGCTTTCAATAGATACTCGAACAAGTGTATGTATAACTCACGGGATTGCTATGGAATTGAAGTCTAACACCAGCTTAGAGTGCCGCCACTTTGCATCAAAACAGGATACAATATATCGGGGTCTAGTGATGCACCTACGACGAGTTTTTGTATGATACGTGTTGGCTGAGCCATTGCCACGCATTGGAAACGTCGTCCAAATGCACTTCGTCGCCAAATGACGTGGCAAACGGTCGGTGGATCTGGTTGAACGTGCTGGCTTTGTGTTGGAGCACCCCCCGAGGAAGCGAAACCCCCACGCCTTCTAATTGCTGGGCACTTTGGCTTTGTTGCTGCTGCTTGGCGGCGAGCTTCTCCTGGAGCTGATGGATCTTGCCCTTGCATAGCTGCGACGCGGACTCGTCCTCAGACGTGTGCATCACCCCGAACTTTTCCTCCAGCAATTGCTTGTCGAATGTCACCAACGTCATTAAGTTTTGGCGGACAGTGAGGTGGTCGCGGTTGTCTTCATTCACCATCCCTTTCCCGTTTATCGCTTTGGTTTGCATGGCCAGCGCTTCCATCGACTCCTCCAGCAACGTCACCACCGCATCATGGTTCGCTTTCCACGCGAGCATGAGATTCGCCGACGATTCGGCCTCTTCACGATAGGCGCTGCATTGGTCGGTGATTGACGCGATCACGTCGTCCTTCTGGCGAAGGGCAAGCTCCAAATCGACAGTTGAACGGGACGTCGACGACTTCTAACAAGGATACATAACCAAGTGAGTTGTTGAAGCCATCACATTGATGAATCAACTTTAGGGCTTCCAGGAGTAAGTTTCTTGATTGGAGTCGGAAGGTTCTTGCTGGCCTTTGGAGACGGAACCGTTGCTGCGGCTACCTTTTTCAACGGTGACTTGGCCATTGGTTGCTTCTAGTGTTCTAATAGTAATGACATATGACAATGAACATGTTTGAGAACGTACGCCGGTTGGAGAGATCGGAGCTACCGCCCCTCGTTTGGGCTTACCGCAATCGATGGACGACAACGCCTTTGAAGGGGATGGAGGGGGAATTCCCCCCGCGCTACTGGAGAAGTCGGGGATCACTGGGGAAATCAAACTCGATTTCTTAAAAGGCGACGGTTCAGGAAACGGGCTGCTTAATTGCTTTGGAGGGGATCGACCAACACTTGTCGGTTTGATGGGGCTTGGAACCCCACTGGCTTTTGGTTTAGCACTCGCTGACGTGGGACGGCGAAGGCCGCTCGGTGACGTTGACGGCGAGCTCATTATCCGTTGAAAAGAGGTTGTTGTGGGGGATTCTATTCTTACTCGAGTGATCCATTCTATCTTCGAATCCCAATCGGTGAATACTGTATTCCAATAAAATGATCCAGTAAGTTCGATAGGATTATTGAATCCAGTCCTTGGAACACTTATAAGTTATCAGTGTAATTTGAGTGATGTACGCGTTCTCGTCGACTGGAGGAGTGGTGACTCTTTCTTCTTGAGATCTACACGGTCGTGAAGCGATGGCATAGCTTCGTTTCCTTGACCTGTAGCAATCCCATTTGCAAATCACTTGCACCAAATGTCCATCCATAACCTCGAACTCATGGTCAGCGACTTCAACGTGGCAAAGTGAAACGGCATGCATAAACGTTCAAGCACAGGCACCAAACAAAGCCTAGTAGCCAACGACCAACAACGAAACAAAATGATATTCATTCATAGCTGCAGCTGGGGCACTTAGCCGATGCGTTCGTACAATGCACGGCGGAAACTAGTCCCCACTACCCCCGCCACGATGCCTCCAGCTCCAGCCACCAGTGCCACCATCACCAGCTGGATCCAGGCATTTGACGGGGTTGGCGTGGACCCTAGCTTCATGGGCATGGGTCGCTTGGGTTTATGCAGCAATTCGTGCGAGTAGTGTTGCGTATTGTTCCACGAAATATCGCTGGAATTCTCCAGGGGGTACCCGATATGGGCAATCTGGTTTTGGTCGTACGGGCGCAACCCATAAATCGACCCCCCGTACGCAGGATGCACCTTGTCCCACACAAACTTGTCGTCCGACACGTCCGGCACCATGACGTGGCAGTCGCTTTCAATCACCAAGTTGTTCTCCCCCCGCACAATCTTGAAAAACCCACTCTCCCCCCAATACCTATAGCATCTCTGTTGCATCAAGTAGCACCATGCAAGTAGGGGGAACTTACGTGCCCCACGAATTGCGCGCGCGCCAGTACTTGACCCCGTGCTCGTCTTCGCCATACCCCACAATCTCCACGTCGTGGTCCAACTCGGTAAAGTTGGTGGTGTCGCGGAAGATCCCTGCCGTGTAGTTGAACACAAACTCATTCGTACAGGCCATGCCGCACGTAATGGGGCCATGTTGGAGCTCCTTCATCATCGCGTGTTCGCCCGCGAGGCGCCAATACTTCTTGGCACGGTACCGAACCATACTTGACACGGGAAAACAAACGGGCGTCTCGGGGCTGTCGGGGGTTTTCATGCAGCTACAACAACGACATCAGTCCTGTTTTCACTGAAATAGTGGCATCCTACTCGATGCAAAAGCCCTCGGGGGGACATGTGCCATTGGGGTTGGACGCCGTGATATACTTCGTATAGTCCGTCGCGTTGTAGTGCAAGCACGTCTCGTCCGGCAGGCCATACACTTTCATGAACTCGTACACATCCGCGGGTTCGCCCCCCTTGCAGCCAAGGGACAACCCATGCCCTGGCGCGCAGTTGAGGAAACTCTGGCGCCCAATCATCACATCCGGGCGCTTCCATCCTAGTTCGTGGTGCAGAATTTTGATGCGGTCGTTCACGGACGCGAGGGCCCCGTGCGCAAAGCATGAGCCACAGTAGACCGGGATGTGCTGGTTCCACGACGGGGTGCACATGCCCCGCTCGCACCAGTCCAAATGCCGAGGAAGCGACCGCATCTCGTCCATCTCGTCATCGGTGGGGGGCGGCAGCTTGTACACGTTCGGATGCAAATGCTCGCGACCTTTCCACGTGCGATGGCACGTGCGGCTGTCCAACGCAGCCACGCAAGACACAAAGGTCGCCGCGACGAGAACACTCACAGGTGAGGGGCGCATGGAAATTCGAGTTGTGGGGTTAACGGCAAGTCGTCGCTTAGTGGTCGAAATGCGTCATCCCCCAGTTCCAACGGACTTATCAACGACATGTTGACAGATTCTGAATTTCGAGCACGGTTTATGCGGCAAATTATAAAATCCGATATTCAAGGCCCCCGTCCAAGTATTCTAGCTATATCCACGTGGTTTGCATACTGTTGCATGCAAGATTGTTGGTAACTATGCGTTGCCTTTTCGCCAGTGCAAAGACAAATGCCACAGTTTGATCCAGAATAACTGCATATGCCATTATCATGTCAAAGGCAAGTTGGGCGGTTGCTTGAATGATACTATCGGTACAGTAGGACCAACGCTAACCGACTCTTTAGAAATTTTTATATATATATTACGTATTATGTCCATCAAAACAGTCTGATTGTTATCGACGACGAACGAATGGCTAGAACTTTGTGCGAAACGTCTGGACAAACTCGGGGAGCGGCGTCGATTGAAACTGGAGAAAGTGGGCTCGCTTGACGGCCACGTACGCTTGAGCTTGCCGTGCGCCAAGGGCGTCCACCAACACCTATATAGTAGTTGGTGTCATATTGGTTATAAGTGCAAACAAAGCCTAGCAATGCGCACCTGATCGGCTTCAAATGCGTCGAGGGCGGCGCCGAGCGTTGTGGGCAGACGCGTCACCTTGCATCGGGCCTTCTCCAAGTCGCTCAGCGCATGGGGATCTCCGTGAACTGGCTACATACAGTCCGATCAATATGTGTGAATTTGGACTTGCCAAAGTAAAAAAAATATACGAGGGCTACCTCGGCCAGCTCCAGCTCTCGATGGATGCCATCCAGCCCCGCAGCTAGCACCACAGCAAGGACCAAGTGGGGCGTCGCCGTGCCGTCCACAGTCTTCAACTCGATGTTGCTGTACCCTCCGTCATGGGTGGTGCACACTCGAATAGCTGCTTCTTTGTTGTCCACTCCCCAGCAATTGTACGCCCCCGCCCTAAACACAAAAAAATATTCCAAAGTAGGGTTGTTAAAAATTTGTGTTTAGATGAAAATAACGGACACAAGAAAATGAGCACAAGAATAATAATAGCCAATCAGGTTGTTCAACAGTTTTCACGTCATCCAATCAACACGTACTACTGTATTTGTCGTTGATCGGCCCCCATAATATATCAAACGTGAATATACTTGTAGAATTCAATTTATAATCGCATATTAATTATACAATTCGAATATTTGTAATTAAACTGTCCAAATTAGTGAATGAACTACATGTACAACGGTACGACATATTGTTTTCGATAGTCGTACGACATAACATCCTGTTCTACTAAACTATTCATTCTACATACCACTCGCAAGGAACCAATCTTCAAAAAACATCATGTAAACTTAAAGCATCATGTATATATATATACATGTTGATAACTCTGAAAAATCGATCAATAGATGTCGATAGAAAACATACTCTTAGCTAAAAAGCCAATAATACTATACCAGTAACGGATTAAACCCTCCAAATACACATGTATGACTAGGGTTTGTACCAGCATCCAGGGGCCAAGCGGGCGTACGAGTTGACGGTGGCGCAACTTACAGCGAGAATCCCGTCCAAGTGCGCCAGAATGCCAGCCATAAAGTGCTTGACGAGGGGCGGCAGGTCCGTGGTAAGGTTGTCGTGGCCTCGCCACAAGCTCAAGTGCAAGTGAGCGCCGTTGCCAGCTTGCATCTCGAACGGTTTCGGCAGAAAACACGCTTGGTATCCGTTCTGAAATGCCACACCTTTGATGATTTCCCGCAAATACAGCTGCATGTCGGCAGCCTCCATTGCCAGTAGTTTGGTTAACGTCACTTCGAACTGACCCACGCACGCCTACAGGTAGGTATATATATATATATAGATTCAGTGAGTATCATTCCTTGAATGCTAAAAAGAAAACGGACTTCGGGGTGCACTAGCCATAGTGGCGCGCCAATGTCGGCGATGGCTTCGACCAAGTCGTCCAGAAACGTTGCGGATTGGTTGATGGCCAGCGTTTGGCAGTACGACGTCGAGTCCACGGGCTCGTTTTGCGCCGTGTACAAGTTGAATTCGTTTTCAAAGCCACAGTACACATCCAAGCCCAGTCTACAACAGATGAATAAATATTATATATAATAAAAAACAATATCGTCAAGAGGTGATCGCTCTAGAATCGATCAAACGCCCATTTGGAATATATGTATAATAATATACTCTTTCAAGCGCTCCACTTGGCGGTGGGCGGTCGAGCGAGGACACAGCGACGTGCCGCCATCACGATCTTTCAAGTGCACCAACGTCATCGCATGTTTCGGGTGGTGGGGGAGTTGACTAACATTAACAAATATTAGCCAAAAAATGAGTAACATCGGTCAATATATATATAAATTGAATGCAATATACATATAATAATCAATGGAACGAAATATACATATAATAATATAGTCGACAGTACGTACATGATGGTCGAGACATCCGGCATCACCCACAGGTCTTCCGACGACGTGAGGCCGCAATTCGGCACCAAAATATCGGCATATGCCATCAATCCCTGCATTCCAATATCACAATCCTCGGCTTATTGACGAAATTAAAATATTTCAAAGTAGAATGCAGCACACCTGGACAGCACTGGTAAGCGCGAGACCTTCCCGTTGCACTCGCGTGAACGCGCGATGGGCTTGCACACATTTGGCCCGCAAGACTCCATCATTGCCACACCAGACAAGCCGCACGACTTTAACTCCTCCTGGCACCCCCACCTACTTACGAAACCCAACCATCACAAATATATAGGCCCAATAGTATATATATATATATATATATATAATCAGTACTACCACCGACGGAGCGTCCGACGGCATGATGATTGAATAGACAGGCACGGGCAAGTGGTACAGGGCCACGGCATTTTCGAAAAAAATCTTCTTGGCCGACGCGAGTGCTTGGTCGACTGTCAATTCATTCGCAGTGATGCACTCCTGCAGCAGCTCTGCCAGCACAAACTTGGCCCATTTGACGCCAATGAACGTTGTCTCAGGTGTGATCGTCCCGTCCGACGAAAACAGCAACTTGCTACTCAAGAATTTGAAATTGTTTGTTGTGTATATGATACGTACGAGATGGGACACAGTTCGAGCAACTGGCCCACCGTCGACTTCATGCCTTCCAGCGACAGCCGCGGCACCGCCAGTCCCATGTCCACGTATACATGGGGGTATACAGAAGCCAAGTACCCTGCCTCCCGCGAATACGGGTACGATGAATGCAGCTACCGTAGTAGCTGATCAAAAAAATATATTCCAACAACGGATACGGTCAAAACATCGGTTCGAATTTGGATGATGTCCAAGTAGAATCGAATGATTGTGGCAAATATATCAAATTATTGCTCGAATGAGAAGTACAACTTTAAATTTGGAAAACATACATTGTGGATTCGGTACGAAGTTCCAGACCCCGCCGAATCGAACCATGAATCGACGCTATTGGCTAATATCCAATTTTGAGTGGATTTGATTGGCTCTTACAGAAAGGACAAGTATAGTCAGCCAATCAGAACTTCCAGCGGGATTCAAGATTGATTAGACAAACCGCGCGAATTTTGGAAATATATAGCGAATTCACAATATATTGAATGAGCTTCACATTTGACTCAAATCGCTTGTCGCAGGTAGCTGGAATGTCCCAAAACAATTTTTGGCGAAAAGGACAATATATATACATATTGTCCTTTTCCCCGAAATTTATATATATATGTATGCTTAGTATATGTATATATAATATATATATAGGACTGCAAAATACCCTATTTAGTCCCCATTTTCAGAGCTGCATAAACTACGATAAATATCATCATCATCAAAGCGTATCTATCGTAGCACAGATCGTAGTACCATATATACTTGTACGAACATTCCAATGCCATAACAACAAAGCCACGAGAGTATCACTGTACCAGCACAATCTTGGCGCGTTGGAACTGCGGCATGTCCAAGAGGGGCTTGAGCAGAGTGGGGTTGCCCCACTCGAGCTGCATGTCGGTGTCACCGAATCCTGTGTGGAACTGCAGGGGGATGTCCAGTTCGAGGGCTAGTTCGAGGGCCACGATGATCAAGTAGTCGATGAGCGTCTTTTGCATGAGTCGAAATGGAGGGGGATCGACTTGGGCTTTGATGTCGGCTCGAATCGTGGCGTACACTGCGGCCACGGCGGCGATGTCGTACGTGGCTACGTGGCACACTGTGAGCATACGATGGTCATGATGATGATGACATTAGGTATACGGACGTTGGATGGAGAGGCCGGTGCGGTAGCACGCGACCGACTTGAGCCCGACAATGGAGCCGTGGTCGGCGCGCACGGCCGCTTCGAACGCGGCGCGGACTCCGTCGATGGTGTCGTAGGCTGGGTTGGACACGTCGTCGATGAACTTGGACACTTCGACCTCAATGCGGTAGATGCGCTTGACCACGGGCACGTACTGTGTATGCCATTCCAGGGGGTAGTTGACCAGGCCACGCGGCTGGTAGCCGTCGTCGATGAGCAGCGCGTGGACGTTGACGTAGCTGAGCATGGCCAGTTGCTCGACTGGGATGGATTGACGGACGGTCTCGACTTCGTCGGCGCCACAGGTAAAGAGCGAGGCCAGGTCGTGCAACGTGCGCAGGTAGCACAGGGTGTGCGGCACATGGTCGGCGAGGACGGTGGGGTCGGACGTCTCGGCCAAGATGTGGTGCAGTGGGATCTGGCCGGGGTTCTCAATCACATTGTGGACGTGTTGGTCCACCACGGGAAGGAACGCAAAGAGTTCGTGAAGCATCCTACTCCGTACTGCTTGAGGTGTCTGGGCAAACGGAACGTGATGCCATATTTTTCACAATTGGCCGCATCAGAAGTTCACTGTGATAAATGATTTTTTGTATAAAATGATACGTATAGTTGTAGTACGAGTTACTTCAGCTTTAAACTGTACTGCAGCATATGATTACCTTTTAGCAATGATAAGATACGTGTGACAGTGGGACAATACAACATTGGGTTGTCCGATTGTTAAAAGCAACCAAAATATGTACTACTTACGTACAAGTTAGTATATTCCTGTGTGATTTGCTTTGCTACCTGGTAGTGCATCAAAGTACGTACATTCCAAGAGTACCAGTACTCGATTTACCAGTACTACATCGAATTCATCCAACCTGTTCTGACAGGATATACTTCCACCAAAATATATGGGCGAGGGAACATAAAGTACACTAGTAGTACACTACAGAACTACGTAGTATCACGTTAACCCTACTACACCTTTTTTCTATTGACTTGGGACTTTTTTCAACGTTGTTGGCTTGGCGCTCATTCGAAAGAGCGATGTGTCCACTCATTTGGCCTTGTGGCCAATAGAATTGACACTTAGTGCCGCAACACCCTTTGAAATGTACTGTACCATACTACCAATGGAAATGGCTCCACTACCCAACAATGTGCCAAGTAGCATTTCGAATCTGCCGTGCTTGAAGTTGAGTTGGATCGAATATAACATTATATTATCAAATACGCGACGGCATGAAAAAAGCAGATAAAATCATCGAAACTTGCAGCAAACAGCTACATGTCGACGTCCATGTCTTCCATTCGGTCCGCACGACCGTAGAAGAACTCCAGACGAGGGAATGCGCTTGTATTTCTTGCGTGGCTATGAACATGGTGAGTGTATCGTGAGCGATGACGTCGTACTGGTGTCTGTGGTGCAGCGTTCTCCATTGTTGCACGGAATGCGATTGCACGGAATGCGATTTTGAAAAGTGAAGATCGTCCAACTGCAACCTTCTAGAATATTCGATCCAATTCAACTTCAAGCACGGCAGATTCGAAATGCTACTTGGCACATTGTTGGGTAGTGGAGCCATTTCCATTGGTAGTATGGTACATTTCAAAGGGTATTGCGGCACTAAGTGTCAATTCTATTGGCCACAAGGCCAAATGATTGGACACATCGCTCTTTCGAATGAGCGCCAAGCCAACAACGTTGAAAAAAGTCCCAAGTCAATAGAAAAAAGGTGTAGTAACGTTACCGATAGTTATTGGTACAGTTTGACTTTATATATTGAGAGTTCTGAAGTCATTGCGTTCTTGTGTCATCAACTAGGACATGGCGATGAACTTGAACTTTTTGTGCTGGGCCGACGCATCTACGACAATCGTTTTGCGTTTCGGGTGGTCGATGGCCCACTGTTGCCACCTCGCTTGGTGCTGCGCAGAGCTCATTTGCCGCGTGGCGTGGAAGGCCCGCTTCGACGCATCTAGCGCTTGGTGCTGTCGCTTATGCATGGCTCGCGTGCGTTCGCGAATGGACTCGTGCTTGATTTCATCGGGAATGACGGCGTCCGTCGCTCGAAGCAGCGCGAGAAGGTCTGGAAACAACGCCGCGCTGTCGGCGCCCACGTAAATGGTGGCCGTGCCCGCCGTGTCGGCATCAGACCCCGGCCGCCGACGACCGGCTCGGCCCACCAAATGCACATACTCTATCCCACTTGGATGTCAAAAAAGCAGCAGCTTCGAGCAGTATTGTTGTGTGCATTCAACACGGGAGCCACGTGTCGACTGTATCGATATCATCTCAAATGGTGCAGAAGAATCGGTACAAGCAATGAGCCAATCAGAGAACAGGAAATCATCGGTTCAACCAATCAACAACGAAGTAGTGTGTGACTTTAATTAGTGTGACGATGGACACCACATCACTAGTTGACATTTGTTTACATTTAAATTCAAAGCACAAAAATACCAAATACCGATCGATCAGCAGCATAAAAGTCCTCCAAATCTTGGCTGACAGGACAATATATATATATATATATATATACCTTCAATGGTTGAAGGCATGTCGAATACCACGACATCGTCCACAGACAACAAGTTCATCCCTCGGCCCAGCAGACCCGTGGACACGAGCACGGGCGCGACGCCATCCACAAACGATTGCAAAATCGACAGCCGCTGCGCCTACGCCGAGTGTATCCATACAAGTGACGATTCCAAATGGCCACGATGCAAGCAGAACGAATCATGTACGACCTATGTCGACCAACGATGACATTTGTTTCAAGAATACCTGCGACTTGTCGCCGTGTATCGCCAAGGCAGGGACGTGGCAGGTTTTCGCAATCGATTTGGCCAACATGTCTGCCCCTGCTTTGGACGCGACGAACACGAGCTACATATGGTTGTGTTGATGCCAAACTGGATTACAACATCCAAATAAATATACTGAAGATAAAAGTATAGCTTTGAACCAAGAATTAGATTACAGGGCAATCATATCAACCTAATACAAGTCGTGTATGACTTGTAAAGTAATAGTGTGATTGCCCGTGACAATTCTTACAAAAGTCACAGTAATTAGAATCGATACGATGGTTGATTTGGCGAAGCAGCACAAAAGTCCAAATGAGTTTGGTACACAACCGAGTGAAGAAACGAGAATGTCCACATGGCCATCATTGCCTACAGAGGTCGTACAATCGAGTGGTCGGTGTCGCCAAGCATGCATTGGCGTTGCTGCAGCCACTCGAACAAATGCTTCTTCTTTGCATCTGGCGTGTGAACATAATGCACGACCTGGCGCGTGGTCGAGTCTGGGAAGCTTGACGTCGCCGCGCTGGCAATCGTGATGCGGATGGCTTCGTGGAGATGGGCGTGGGCGAACGAGAGCACTGCTTGTGTGACGGTGGCGGACACCAAAACTAGTTGCGTTGTGGGGGGCAACGCCGCCAGTATCGCTAACACTTTGGCTTCAAACCCGCTACTTTGGTCCACGAGCAAGTCCGCTTCGTCCAGCACGCACGTGATTACATGGGACAAATCCAATGTGAACTCGGTCACGAGTTCGTACAGGCGACCGGGGGTGGCCACCACCACTTGCACGCCTTTTTTGAGTCGGTGAAGCTACGACCACCATGAGACTCATCATAGCACGACGTGATACTGTATGTACGTACTTGAGTGGGGACTGGGATCCCACCGATGAGCAGCGCCGTCTTCATCTTGGAAATGCCTTGCATCAAAGTCTATAGATCGTTGATTAGCTTTGCATTTCTTCTTGTCGTTATGACCCACGCACGCACACCTTGGCTTGAGTTTCGAGTTGCATGCATAACTCACGGACGGGAGCTACAACCAACCCCAAGATGCGATGTTCCTCCACATCCAAGCGATGCTCCATCGCATGTGCCACCAGGGGAATCAAATACGCCAACGTCTTGCCAGTGCCAGTCGGAGAACAAACGGTAAGCTACAACGCATGATCAACACAGTTCGAGACGTGGAAGGGTTGTTACGTGTCGGTGCTGCAACATGTACGGCAGAACTTGCATCTGGACAGGCGTCGGGTGGTGGTATCCTTCCCGTTGCATATTGTCGTATAGGTCATCGTGCAGCTTCAGCAGATGAAATTCTGTGGCCAAGAGCTCCTCGACGCCAGCTCCTTTGACCGAGATTCCAAACTGCCTTTGCAAGACGCGACTCGCCTCGCGTTCAAGCGCTCGATCGCGACACTCCATGCTGCATACGTCTTCGTCGGTTTTGTCGCAAATGTACTCACCATATCGGCCGCATATTACGCACTCTGGCTCACCAGCACGGGGATGTCGCTGTGCTTCAGGTACAAGCACAATCTCATCAATTTCAGACATGGGCTTATGACTGCAAATCCGGATATTGAATGAGCCATCCGGCAAATTTTCAACTTACTGTTATTAATACTATTAATAGTAGACATGTATGTACTATTAATAGTGTATAAGTATATTACCAGTAATAATAGTAACTATTAATAGTTAATAAACGTCTGTAACGAACTATATACATGATGGATGCTACAGTCTGCAAGTATTCACGCGACTGTGAAAAATTTATTTACGTTTGTTGATTACTTGGAACACCAAAACAAATAAATACTACAGTATAAAATTGGAAAAAGTTATGTCAGCGGTGGGATTTGAACCCACGAGTGCGAACACAGTAGAACTTGAGTCTACCCCCTTGGACCGCTCGGGCACACTGACTTACTCCCATTTATGCCTCGTATTGATTAACTACCTTATCTACCTAAGATGACTACTACTCGCGCCTCCTCAATCGCCGCTGCCGCCTCTGCCAGCCCCACGCTTGCGACCACGCCTACCACCCACGATGTCAACGACGACATGGAAGAGGGTGCACCTACCCCGATCGCGGACGATGTGCCCACGCACGACGCCAACGACACCTTGACGCCGGGCACAGCTCCGACCACGACGCTCGGCGACGACGACGTGACGGGCGCGGCCGCGCACCGTGTTGACGAAGACTTCCCGGAGCTCGACGGCGCCAAGGCCACGACA